TTCCAGTACTGATCTGAGGAGATAAAAGCAACCATAGGAAATCCACTCTTTAGATATAAAAACATAAAGAACTTCAAGAAAGAACTGAAAAAGAATACAGCCATTCATACAGACCTGTGATGAGGTATCGCTGTGAATATGTCCCATTGCCGAAACTGTTGTAGTTAAAATGGTCCAGAATCTGAGTGAAGTACTTTTCCTCGAACTGAGCTATGGGGTCTCCTCTTAAAGGGTGTCTCCTGTGCTTCCACTTACATTCACAAGGGGGCAGGGATAAAACAATTCAACAACAAAAGTAATCAAAACTGTTTAAAAGAAACATTCAGTGCATTTTCATGTGACATAATCAGAAGACAGTAACTCAGTACATGTACTTAAATCTGTGCACTTGAGTTTTAGGTTTTTTTTACAGTTTTGATGTTTCAGTAGATACTAACTTAATAACAAACTTAATTAGTTTAGGTTACTTGAAGGGAAATTTCTGCGTAATTTAATGGATGTTAACAAAATCATCCAGAGTGGTTTGATGTGAAATGGTTTGTTTATCAAGAAACTCAGTGGCTACTATTTCTTTACAGTGGCAGTGATGGGAACCAGGGCTCCCCATGTCTCTAATCCATATGTAGCCATTTTATTTACTATCCAAAACCACCAAATAACCTACACATATCTGTGTTTATATATGTAATGTTGATGGTGGTAAAATTGTGGGCAATCTGAAAAAAAAAAATAGTTTTCTCTGGGGACTATTTTGCCTTAGAACACCCTTCATGTACCCCTCCACGATGAACAGATTGAAAGAAATTGATTAAAATATGTTTTAGATCAAAACTGTATCACAAAACTACTTTTGAAAAAAACAATCTCTTAGACATCAAGCAGTGTATTCATGACCATTCTTTCAGTGAGGGAGCTTTCAGGGGAATCAAACTCTTCATACGTATTTTACACCAAACCACTCTGAATGATTTTGTTGATGTCAACCATTTAATTATGCAAAAAATTTTTGAAAAATCGGTGGACGTCCCCTTCAAATAGTTAGCTATAGATGCTGGATTTCCCTACTGCATCAAACACAGTAAACTCGTTTTTATTTGTAGTCATACTTTTTTAAACCCATGTTTACTTCTACTTGACGCATTATTTAATTTAAGTAACTTTTCCTTGAGAATGGTTTCGGCTCCTCTTCCTAGATCTGGTTATAAGCGGCGTTGAATCTGTGGTGAGACAGTAACATTACGCGCTACATACTGATCTTACCGTAGATGAGCTGAAGGGTCGAGCGGCAGTTCCTTCAGTCAGGACAGCCAGAGTGAGCAAGAAAAGAGACCACCAGCCTGCCATTGTGGAGGAGACCCCACAGAGCCAGGCTGCTTCACAAGCTCTGTTTATGTTCCTTCACTATCATGTGATGGCGGGTCATGTGATGTGTCGTTGGCTGCTCTGGAGATCGAAAGTGGAAGTTAAGGTCTTTTTTGCGGTACAGTAATCTGAGAGTATTTGTCTGTAACGGTTTAGTGTCTTAAGCACTGCCAAGGGTTTTTATTTGCACGTCAGTAAAAATGTATGTTTCCCGATGTCAAGTTTCTGTTAATTTCAAAGTAAAAGCCCCGCAGTGGCCAGAAACTCAACGACGAATGTAATAAGCCACTGAAGGCTAAACAGTCAGGGCCCCCGCTTTCTTGGCGTATTCTCCATAAAGATTTTACGATTTATGGCAACAAAAGATGACCTATATTTCCAGTTTTATTGTGCACTGTGCTTTACGGAGAACGTTCACTATTGCGCCATCTACTGGAGAGGTTGTACTGTACAACTGTGATTCAACGTAGGACAGTCAAAGATTTATTTTGGTGAACAAAAAAAAAGTTTATAATATCACATTTTATTATATACTCCCCTGATAAAATAATAATAATAATAATAATAATAATAATAATAATAAGTTTAAGCAAATCATAAATTATTAAAATAATAAAAGAAAATAAACAATTAAAATTATTATTATTATTATTATTATTATTATTATTACTTTACTGAAATAACCTTAGGCTGAAAACTAGACTGCTATTTTGTTTTTACAAACCTAATATTTTATATGTAGTTTTAAACAGCGAAATAGAATCATTATTATAATTGGAGAAGTTGCAAGTGTACGGAATACAGAAGTGTACAGGATACTATGCTCTTACACTACATTGTATTTCTTCCCACTGGCAACTTTATGAGCTTCACTTGCCTTATATATTGCAATATGTACAATTACGTTGGTCAGTTTTTGACCACAGGACCACTGTTGTCCAGAATTATTTGGGTGGTGGACCATTCTCAACACAGCAGGAATGCTGACATGGTAGTGTGTGGGTGCTAGTAGGAATGTATCAGGCAGAACAGTGTTTCTTGGGTGTTTTACACTAGAGGGTGTAAACTCCAGAAGTATTTAGTCAAGAGTGGTTCTATGGTAAGATCTGATTATTCATGAAGGCCTAGCGGATGGCTAACATAAACTATCTATCAGCAGATGAGCTACACTCTTTCTAACTCTGCACCAGCAAAGTGGAGCATCAAGGTAGGTGTCTCTAATAAAATGGCCAGTGAACATAAAACATCAACGGGCCAATATTCTCTCTCACTTTCTCTCTCAGGCCACACATATACACATAAACACACCCCTGTGGTGGTTCCTAGCCCCACCCTCTACAGTAAGAGTCCATAGCAATGAATGAATGAACCAAGTGCAATAAATGCTGGAAGAACGCACATCCTCAGACGAACATGCCAGAACATTTCTTAAACACACGACAGTATCATAAATGTTTATCGGTTGAGTGGTTAGTCACACCGTTAAGATAACACAATGGGAAGATGATTGTTGTGTTCTGACTGCTCTGAATTGGTGAAAGCATCTTGGTTAAAAGCAACCCACCACCATAAAGCTTGCTAGTAACATGGCATAGCAGAGGAATAGCTGCACATGCTGCTTACCTGAAATGAACCCGGTGGAGACCAGTCTGCTGACACAGGCTGACCATGAACGAATGTAATTCAGCTCTATCTAGAAAAGCCCCACAGGGCAAAACTATACAGACTAATTGCTAATGTACTGTAAGGAGGCCGGTTTCTATTAGGGAAGCTTTGACCACCTGCAGGGATATACATACTAATACGTGTTTTTCCTGATGATCTACAGGAAAGCGGTCCTGGTTGAAGTATTAAGACCACAACATCAACAAACCCTGATTTGCCTGATCTGCCTTGCCTGTATGTGATTGTGGGGATTGTTGGGAGTTCTCCTTCTTTTACACTGTTTGACTGTTCTACAGTGTTCTCTTCCATTCACAGTTTTGTAGAATGCCCTCTTATTCTCCCTGTTCTAGAGTGCTCTACCCTTCACATATACTGCTCTAGAATGTTCTCCTCTTTCACAGTGTTCTAGAATATTCCCCATTCCCCATACTCTCTATTGCTCCCACATTTTTAGAACATTCTCCCAATCACGTGGTTCTAGAGTGTTCTCCACATTGATACTGTTCTAGTGTGCTCTCCCCATTGTTCACACTATCCTAGATCATTTTCCCAATTCACACTGTTCTTAATTGTTCTCCCTTGTTCACACTGTTCTAGATTGTACTCCCCTTGTTCTAACTGTTTCAGACTGTTCTTCCCTATTCATATATTCTACATTATTCCCCATTTCCAAGGTTCTAGAATGTTCTTACCATAATTCACACTTTTCTAGACTGTTCTTTCCACAACTTGTACAAGAATGTTCTCTCTTATTAATCACACTGTTCTAGGTTGTTTTCCCTATTCACACTGTTTTAGAATGTTCTCCCCCAGTCGCTCTGCTCAACAACGATCTCCTGCCATTCAAATGGTTCTAGATCAGGGGACGGCAGCCCAAATGTTAAGAAGAGCCATTTGGTCCTTTGAGCAAAAATCGAACCACCTTGGGAGCCACGACGTTTTATGTCCATTTTACCGTTTTGGCTGTAAATATGTCTCAGTATGTGCTACTAGTATAGGCTAAAAAATATAAACAAAAACACAGACTTACTTTGCTCCGCTTTAAGCTTTAGCTCAGCTATAACTGCTTTTCTCGCATCTCTGGCAGGAAACTTTTCTGCAGAAGTAGAATAGTTTCTTATAAAATGTTTCTCAACTTTCAACTGTTTATGAGGCTGAAATCAGTTTCTCATTCGCCAGAATGTAACTGCAGCTCCATTTAAGGTGGGACGGGACAATTTGAACAAGAAGCTGGCAAACAAGAAGCTTCTTGTAGCAGCTTCTCGACTTTTTAGTGTTTGACAGTTTCTCGTTGCAGATTAAACATATCAGGAAACCAGCTGAGTGCAAATAAGTCTGTTCATCTCCAAATTATCTCTGTCATCTTAAATCTTTTCCTTTGCCATTTCACTAGCTACTAACTACTTGTTGTCTGTGTTGCTTTGGTGACCAGCAGTATGCATGCCAGGGTTAAAGTTAGGTGAATTAGCAGATATAGGCTACATTAACTCCAGCGTTTAAGACCATTTATTGTTAAAACTGTGTTGAACGATCAGCAGAGCTTTATTTTACTGCAAAGGAGGATTCTTTTATTTTTACATAAAAATCTAATTCTGCTGTGGAGCCACATTAGGACAGTAAAAGAGCTGCATGTTCTAGAATGTTCTCACAAGTCACACTAGTTTGTTCAGTTCTTTATCAGTTCTTTTTCTGAACATTGTAAAGGAATTAGAATGCTGGTGTTGTTGGGTCAGTGTGCTCTGACCGTAATGGAAAAAACTGTCTAGTTATGATTTTTATTGTGAAACTTATCTTTACTGTCTCAGACGGAAGTGTCTTTCCTCTTAAGTGACAATAGCCCGCTTGTCTCAGGTGTTGTGTGCATGCCACGCTCACTGTTTAACAATTGCATTCCCTCCTCTGTTTGCTCTCTCTCTCTCTCTCTCTCTCTCTCTCAGGCAGAGTTTCCTGGTTTGCCTGCTCGCTGTGGGCGGGAAAGCTGTCCAAACTTCATGCTTGATTTCCTGGCAGGTCGACAAGAGGGACATAAAACACCTGCTCCAGTCGCGCTCATCTTCACTTTAGCTGAAGGCTGTTCCTCTGTCTGTTGCTGTGCTGTGGTGAGTAGTGATTTCGTTCTTTGCCTGTACTTGTTGGAAATCTTGAAGTGAAGTTTCCATTTAGAGGAGGTTGCAAAGCTGGTTTCACATGTTTTGCTTTCTTGCTGTTTAATTAGGCTGTCAGATTGAAAGGCTATAAATTTGGTTAACTTTTCTGTATTTATTGATCTGTTATCCTTAGGTACAGTTTATTTTGTATAATAATCATTTGGTAAACTTTTGTGTACTGATTGGTTTATAAGTGGTAGTTTTTTATGCATAATATTACCTTGGTAAAGTTTTCTGTACTAAATGGTCCTTAATTAGTAGGTTCGGTTTATTTTGTATGAGATTACATTGTATGTAAGTTAATGTTTCATTAGTAATTACTTTGTGTATTTTGTTTACTGAGAGGTCTTTAATTAGTAGGTACAGTGTATTATGTATAATATGACTTTATCATGGCGCATAATCACAAGCCTAACAGTAAAGTTCTGTGTAACTAATCCTTCCAGGTAACACCGTTTGGAGGCAGTGGTAACAGCAGTTTTGCTCTGTAGGTGACTGTTTTCAGTAGTGATTGTGCTGTGGTTGTTCTCACAGACAGGGCCATGCTGTACACAGAGCTGATTCGGCTGTGGGACGAGGCCGTGAGGGCGGTGGATAACCAGGACTGGCAGGATGCTCTGGCAAAACTCAACCAGATCTCTGACCCCACCTCTCGCACACTGTTCGTCACCTCCTCTGTCCACCTCACCCTGGGCCAGCTTGACCTGGCCATCAAGGTAAGCCCCTAAAACACAGGTAGGGCATGAAGAAAACACTCCTCTTGAAGATCTACAGATGTCTGGGGATTTCCTCTCTGTTGCATTTAATAAAGTGAGAAAAATACCAGTTTTTGTTTTCCCGATTAGTCGTTAATACGTTAAACTATTGTAAGCTGCCAAAGAAAGTGTGCTCATTTGTATTAGAAGCATATTGAAAAGCAACACATCTCCAAACGTTTGTCTCACAGTGTATGGTTTGCTGTAAAGAGAGGGGAATGAATTGCAAAAGAGTGATTGATCTTAGGATTGTGAGTGTCCCTGGATTTGTTTTCATTTTGAGTCTGTCTTTTTAGACTCTAGATCGTGTTATTGCAAAGGATGAGAGATTGGCTGTTGGCTTCTTCCAAAGGGCTGCTGTGCAGATAACGGCAAACAGGTAAGAAAGCTTTTGTCATACAGTCTGTTCAAACTGAACCTCAGGAGCATCATCTGGATCTAATTGGCAAACGACAAAGCACGTTAAACATTACTTTCTTTCCATGTCCTGAAAACAGTTTATTTCACATTTATTTCACATTTACTTCACAGTTTATTTTTTCACTCTTTCTTTTTCAGGCTGGAGGAGGCTCTGGGTGACTGTATCTGGGCACAGAAGCACATGAGAGAAAACACTGTCATTGATTACAAACAGCTAGGACTGCGCTATAAACTCTACAGCTGGCAGGTTGTAGCCCCTATAACTTTTTATTCATATGTTTATTTCTGTATATCATCACTGTTGTACCAAAATCATTGTTGCATCTAACATCACTGTTGTATCTCCAAAATGGTATGGTCTCCTTTATCAGAGAAAATATGTTCTTAACTGTAATGTACATTAATGTTCCAAAAACGTTGGGACAGTTTGTGAAATGCAGTGATTTTACCCTTACTTGAACTTTTACTTGTAGTTAAATGAAATCAGTACAAAGACAAGATATTTAATGTTTCTTATCAACTTCATTGTTTATTTTGTAATTATATGCTCATTCTGAAATTAATGCGTGGAGCATGTTCAACACAGTCATGATGGGGCAGTTTAAGATTAGGAACATTGTGAAATATGAAAAAAACAAAAAAACAAAACAAAACAGAACCAAAAAAAAAAATCTTAAACAGGTGATGCAATCATGTTTGGGTATAAAAGGAGCATCCAGGAAAGGCCTAGTCTTTATGAGCAAGGATGGGTTGAGGCTTGGCATCTAAAATACATCAGCCAATCAGTTTAAAGGTTCGCACCTTTGTGCTCTTGAGTGTGTAAATTTGGTTCTTAAACATCTTCTTAAGAACAGTTGTTGAATGCGGCCCATTGTTCCTCAACAAGCAATTGCAAGGATTTCAGGTATTACAGCCTCTACGGTGTATATTATCATCAAAAGATTGAGGGAATCTGAAGAAATCTTTGTGCATAGAGGGCAGGGCCAAAAATAAATTCCTGTGAACTTTGATCCCTCAGACAGCACTGCATTAAAAACCGGCACATTGATATCACCACATAGGCTCAGGAATACTTTAACAAACCATGTCATAACAGCTCAGCACTGCATTCACAAATGCAAATTAAAACTGTACTATGCACAGTGGAAGCCATATGCCAACAACATTAATAAACGCTGCCGACTTCTTTAGGCTTGAGCACATCTGAAGTATACTGATGTACTATAGTCTGACGAGAAAAAAACTGAAACTGTGGAGCGCTGACGCTTTGATAAACAGCACAAAGCACCATATTCCTAACTTCTGACTTTTTCTTACATCAGTAACAGTAGCTAACGTAAGCTGTCTGGCTAATGAACTTGATTATTTTGATTATGTGTTTTTGTTTCAGTTGTGCGCCTATGGTTGGTTGGTAGATTACAGTCATAACGGTTGATTGTCGATTTCAATCAAGTAGGTTGGGTTCGAGATAAGTTGAGATAACTTCATATACGATGCTGTAAGATATGATTCCTAAATTAAGATAAGATTTGCTTCTGTAATACGAATTTGTTAAAATCTTATATTGACCAGAACTTAAAACAGTAATTCTGTAATACAGAAATAATACAGTAATACCCTTGATGTTGAATCTAATATTTTTAGAGCATTTCTATTAGTCCAATTATTATGAAATGTTCCCACAATGTAAAAGGTAGCAAGCATTTTCAAAGTACATAAAAAGGTATATAAAGATTTATAAAATTAAAAACTGAATTCGATACCTTAGTGTTACAATTCAATACAATATGATACAGTTTGATATATGATACAACACGATACTCAGTGACAGAATTCTATACAGTACAATGTGACACGTCATGATTTGATACTTTATCTTTCATCCCTGATGTAAAAAAATAAAATCATAAAGTAAATGTGTTACAAGGTTTTATGACAATAAAACAATATATAACAGTGACAGTGGACGCTTTACTTGAACACCGCTGCATAACATTGACATAACCATGTCCAGTAATGTAACAGTGTCATATCATTGTTACAGATAATTGTCATGACGTTTGTCATGATGTTTGATGTCATGATGACTAAGTAGAATATTTTTTCCAAAAATTAGCATGAGACATAAGCTGGTGTGATATCAAACAATATAGCGTCTACCATGACAATGCTGGTAATGATAACATGAAACTGTTATATTAATCGAGATAATCTGTCATGACTCTCGACAGTATATGTATCAGTCACAATAATAATGTTTATAGCATAGTTATGTCAGAGTTAGCGCATGTAACACATGTATTTATATTGGCACAGTCCATGACCGCACCCAACTGCGCCTCTTTGGCTTCTTTTTTTCTCCATTGCTCTGAACTTTCAATTGCTCACATTCTCTCTGTTTCCTTATGTCAACACTGCCATTGTGTGTGTGGCAGCCTAAGATTCACCAGCACTGCAGCCTTTCAGCAAAGCCTCCTTTAAGGTGTACAGTGTTTTCCAACCTAATCTGTATCTGCTATATGTGTAGTGTGAGATTAATAACTACTGACAATTATTTAGACATTTCCCTGCTGTTAGTATAAGAACAGAAAACAGTTGACTGGAAACACAGTCACAGTAAAGAAAATAGTTCTTTATAGAACTACAAACACTTAAAGAACCCTTTGCATGATTAAAGGGTTCTTTACATCATGAAATAGCTCTTTAGATTGATGGAGAATGTGCTGTAGATGGTTCTATAAAGAACCTTTGTAAAAATGGTTCTATATGGCATCAAAAAGGTTTTTTCTGTTGTCACAAGCTTTATAGAATTCTTTATAGAACCATATACAGCACATTCTTCATCAATTTTAAGAATCCTTTCATGATGCAAAGAACCCTTCACTCCTAAAAAGATAGTTCTTCAAGGGTTCTTTAGTAAAGACAATGGTTCTATATAGAACCTTGAACACTTTTGAACAGATTGATGAGAATGTGCTATAGCTGTTTTATATAGAACCTTTTTAAAAATGGTTTTATGTAGCACCAAAAAAGGGTTCTTCTATTGTTACCAGCTTGACATCATAACAACAGAACAACATATTTGGTGCTATATAGAATCCTTTTCAAAAAGGTTCTATATAGAACATCTATAGCACATTCTCCATCAATCTAAAGAACCATTTCATGATGCAGAGAACCCTTTAAACATGCAAAGCGTTCTTCAGATGTGCTACAGATGTTTTATATAGAACCTTTTTAAAATGGTTCTATGTAGCACCAAAAAGGGTTCTTCTATTGTTACCAGCTTGACATCATAACAACAGAACAACACTTTTGGTGCTATATAGAATCCTTTTCAAAAAGGTTCTATATAGAACATCTATAGCACATTCTCCATCAATCTGAAAAACCCTTTCATGAAGCAAAGAACCCTTTAATCATGCAAAGAGTTCTTCAGATTGATGGAGAATGTGTTGTAGATGGTTCTCTATAGAGCCTTTTAACAAGGATTCTATATAGCACCATCTACAGCACATTCTCCATCAGGTTGAAGAAACTTTCACACTGCAAAGAATGCCTTAATCATGCAAAGGGTTCTTTTAGTGTTCATGGTTCTACTGAACCATTTTCCTTACTAAGAACCATGAAGAACCATCTTTTTAAGAGCATAGAGTACCTGCCTGAAGAGTAAGTGTATTTTAAATCGACATGTTCTCTTCTGTTCCAACTCTAAAGAAGCTGTTGTCCATGGAAATTGTCTGTATACTGCAGATGCGGCAGGTAGGGATTAGGCCGGAAAATGCTGGAGTATTCCTTTAAGAGGACGACAGGAAAACCTCCAGCCTTATGCAATGTCAAATGCCGTTCAGAGTGAAGATTAGACATATCACACATTCCTCACTTGCAAGGTCGAGCTTTCCTCACCTCAAACAGGTGGAGCAACCTGAGACGGGGAGGGTCTGGAAGGGTGTGTTGATATGTGTGCATATGTGTGGTTCTCCACTGAATATGGCTCAAAAAAACTTCATTACAATGCCTTGGATTACATGAACAGAGGAGCAGAGGATAATACGGATACTGTACTTCACTTCCTTCTTCCTGGTCTGTAAAGGAGTGGAGTTTCCAGTGCAAGGAAATGTTACTTTGTTGAAAAGAAGATTGATGATGTCGTCATGAAACACACACACTCTATTCTCTATTCTCCTGAGGCGTGACGAGCTTCACATAGTGTTATTACACACAGATAACGAGACTGAGCAGCACTGCTGTGGGAATGTGTGGTGGGTGTGGTCTAACAGGTGTATATTGTCTTGACTGACAGGTTCTGTATAATGCAGCAGCAGTCCACTGTAGAATGGGTCAGTGGGAGAAGGCTGGAGAGATCCTGCTGGCCGCTTCACAGGAGAGAGGAGGGAGGGGGGTCCAGGTGGACCTGGCAATGGACAGTATAGCAGTAAGACGATGCATGTACTTCTAATATACTCAACTTTAGCCTCATATTCAGGACTGAATATCGATTTTAGAGGCCCGAGCACCAAAAATACCAGAACACTGTTGTTTTTGTTTGGATTGTTCTTCTTTTTCTTCATTTTCTTTTCGTTCTTCTTGTTGTTTTCATCTTCATGCTTCTGCTTCTCTTCCTTCTTCTTCTTCTTCTTCTTCTTCCTCTTCTTCTATTTCTCCTTCTCCTCCCCCACTCCTTCTTCTCCTCCTCAACCTCCAGTCTTCTTCTTCTTCTTTATCTTCATCTTCTTCTCTTTCTATTCTTGTCATCTTTCTGATCCACTCCTCCTTTTTCTTTTTCTTGTTGTTGTGCTTCTTCTTTTCCCCTGACTCCCTTCTTCTTATTTATCTTCATCACTCTTTTTTTTTCTTCTTTTTTCTCCTCCTCCTCCTTCTTCTTCGCTTCTACTTCTCTTCCTCCTCCTCCTCCTCCTCTTCCTCCTCCTCCTTTCTCCTCCTCCTCCTTCTTCTTCTAACTATCTTCCTCCTCCTCCTCTTCCTCTCTTCTTCTTCTTCTTCTGCTTCTAATTCTCTTCCTCCTCCTCCTTCTTCTTCTTCTAACTGTCTTCCCCCACTTCTTCTTCTCCCTTTTTCTTCTTCTTCTTCTTCTTCTTCTTCTTCTTCTTCTAACTCTCCTCCTCCTCCTCCTCCTCCTCCTCCTTCTTCTTCTGCTTCTAATTCTCTTCCCCCTCCTCTACCTTTTCTTCTCTACCACCTCTTCATCTTTACGTTCTTCTCCTTTTTCTTCTCCTTCTTCTATTTCTCCTGCCCCTCGCCCACTCTCTTCTTCTTCTTCTTTCTTCTCTTCTTCTTCTCTTCTCATTCACATCTGTACAGTTTAGGTTGATAGTGAACCCTTCAAAACTATAAAATAACCCATATGGAAGTTCCACGTGTGATGAGATCTTGATTGCTGCTGAAAATTACACATTTGGGGGAATTTTTAAAAATGATCTGTTTTTTTCATTTTGTAATCTTTGTTTTTGAATTCAGAGGAGGGAGGTGATTGCTCCTCTTTTCGTCCCAGAGGGAGTAGTGTTTCGCCCCAGGAAACAGGATGTGGAGGAGCTTCGGCCGAGAGACTTTCTGGGAAAACCGGAGGTAATGTCCACATTTTTAATATATATTTCAGAAATTATATATCATGATACATAGTAACGGCATATTTAAAAATGCTTTTAAAAACTATGAGTAAAATCTTAGCCAGGTACAACACTTAGGAGCCATCTCTCAACCTTTTTTTTTCAACCACACAGTTAGTCAGTGTTCCTTAAGAACTGGTGATGCCAACGAGAAGCTCAGTAAAGCATGTGACATATATTATTGTGATAAACTGTCAGTCATCTGAGTCATTAGAGGCAATCATAAGATGGAAATTCCCTATATGTACCACGTCTGATGACCTTTTCTCCCAGGTCATTATTTCTGATATCCCACATGATGACTTCGGAGGCTTTGAACCCCTCAGGCCGCAGGTAGAGTCACTGTTTGTACCTTTTATGCTCACACTTACACTTTGTTCACACTTGAGCTGTCTGAGTTTCAGATGACGACTCTGATGGTGTATATTTTTGCAGAAGCCTGGATACTATGAGCCAAAGGTAGAGGAAGGCCGGTAAGTATGCTGAACAAACTGAGCACCTGAATTTCACTTTATTATAAATGATTATAACTTTGCATATTGTCCATAATGCACCTTTAAAGAACTGCAGTACACATTTAGATACAAGCAGTCTAAATGTCTCAGAAGTGCAAAACACTCAAAACATTTTTATTTGCCTTTTTATTATTATACAGATATACTGGTGCATGCATTAAAAGTAGAATAAAACAAGCATAGAATAAATAAACATATATAAAATAACACAAAAAGATAAGCTATATAAAATATCATAAAAAAAGATTTTAAGATTTTCATTGTATTTACCATTTCAAAGTGTCCTACTAATTATTTGAATGTGCAAATGTTTGCAATATGTTTTGTTCATTTTCTAAGTGAAAAGAACTGGGAACAAACTGAAAAACTGCATTTTCTGTAAAGTTTAGAACACCAGTTCTGTTTATTAAATAAAAAAACATAAAATATAAAATGTGCCATAATATAATATATATTTTTCCCCAAGTTGTTTTGGGCCATTTCTTTTGGTCCATTAATCATGAAATTTACAGACAATGTAAAGAGAAACAGGCATTTTCACATTATGTCAAAAGCTGAAAAACAGAGATACAAGGTTTTGTTCTGACAGCAGCGATATATTTACAGTTCAAAGTGCCAAGTATTTGGGGGGGAAAGAGGACTACTTAATATGTTTATTGTGCACTAAACTAATTGTGCACTAAAATTTGCAAAGAAATGCCATATTTCAGTGTGTTCTTTATAGATGATGTGTTATCCTTAACATATTTTAACTCAATAAAACATGTAAGAAAAAGTTTGTGTGTCAGAATAGTTTTAAACATGTATCTGCAGCCATAGTGGTCGTTATTTAAAACATTTAAACAGTAGTGTGTGTATATTGTAAGTATTACCATGTATACTTTGCAGGGATTCACGTTACATGTGTGTGAAGAATGCATACATGGCCAAAAGTCCAGGTGAACTGACTGTTCCTGCTGGAGCACACGTCTTTGTCTTCAGCCAAGATGACAGGAACGGTCTGGCCACAGTCATATACGACGGTCAGGTACGCCTTTCAGGCACCTTCCAATACAGCATGACTCACTGCTGTGACTCACTGATGTTTTATAGAAGCACATTGCTTATGTATGCTTCCCTTTCTGTTCTGCTTTCTTGTGCTCTTTAGAGAGGTCTGCTTCCAAACTTCCTGCTTGAACCGGTGACAAAAAAGACTAAAGGCAAAAAGAAAAAATACGTAAGTGTGCGCTCCATATACTTTCCTCATTTGTATTCCTGGTTTATTATGCTGCGCACATTACCTGAGGCCCTCTGCTGCATATTAGAGTAACATTTCATTATGGCTCTTCCTGCTGCATTGTACCCCACTTTTTTCTTTTCAGGAGCTTAAAATATACACTTGCATTGGAAACCGCAGACAGCTCAGTGCTAGTTTAACCTGATGTTTCCCCAAAATATGAACTTTGAACAAAAATTATTTTGCTGAAAGTTTAGTGTCTGTTTTTAGAGAGAGAAAAGCATGGAGTCATGAAAAATGAAAGGTACTCACATAGAGATACACTCTTAAAGGTAATGGCAGAAGGGTTCTTTTGCAGTGATGCCATAGAACCACTTTTGGTTCCCTAGGAACCTCTCCATTCAGTAACTTCTATTATACAATACTGTGCAAAAGTCAGAGACCACTTTTAATTTAGTTAACTCCTAGTCAAAATGGCCATTATGTACAAATTATTCTTTTTTCAGCATCAGCATCAGCAAAGAAAATATAATATATATATATATATATATATACAGAAAATTATACAGAAGCCTCTACAACAAAATCTAATATTTTTTCAATAATTATTGTGTGCACACTTTGATGACTGGCTTTCAGTTTTTCAAAGAAATCTGCAGGATCTTTTTCCACACCTCCAATGAAGTTGGTTGCATTTTCTGCTTTCGCAATTCAGATAATCCCAAACATTCAGTGATGTTGAGGTCTGGACACCTGCAGTGTGTTATTTTTTTTCATCTATTTATTTTTCTGAGGCTTCTTGACATCTACACATGCTTTCAGACTCATAGTGCTGAGTTGTCTTCTCACAGTGGAAGGATGGACAGAAACACCTGTGGATGTTTTCAGATCTGAACCAAGAGTGGAGCTTGATTTTCTCCTCTCTCTTAAAGAGGAAAGCTTTAAGTACAGTTTGTCTAATGATGACACTTTTGGTGTCTACCAGGTCTTTGATGGTTGTTAGGAGTCTCATTTGCTCTGTACCTTTTAATCTTTTTTAAATTCCAGTTTTGAAAAGTCCCATTTCCCCTTTCTTATGCCAGTGGAATGTCCATCTCCTCAAAAATATCTCCTCAATAATTAACAATTTGTAATTAATGGCAGTTTTGACTGGAAATGCTGTGATAATATATGTAATTGTTTTGGTATTTTTGTCAATTACAATTACAATTTACATGTGACAGGAGACCCTAGGCTACTCAGATATGTCTTTATTTGACATGTAAATGCTAACAGAAATTTGATATCTTTATGAATTTGGCTAATTTTTTATTAAAAATGTACCTAGTGCCTCATAAAATTTGTATATTTTAGCTTATACAGGTCTTTAAAAAGGGCCGTCTCAGATAGCTTTTCAGAAATTGTGTCTGTGTCTGAAAATGCAAGAATTTTGATGGTGATTAATTCTGTTACATATTATTGAGTAAATAAATAGCTTATGGTGGCCATGTTTGATATTGATTTTTCGTCTTCTTGGGTTCATGCTGAGTGCTAAAATTCTAATACACAGCAAGACAGACTTTATTTTTAATGTAAATTGAGTTGAATGTTTACTATCATGAGTGTTCTGATGTGTGAATCATGTCACTCTTTTAACCCTTTGTTATAATATGAAGGCTAAAAGCAGAAAGCTGATATAATGGTAGTGAGTAGATTTTGGGTATTTTATCGAGCTGGATTACTCACTGATGCAGACGTCACAACTTGATGACGTCATGCCGGCTAGTGAGGGCTGGGTCTGCTGAGTGTTCTGATTCATGAATCATGTCTGTAGCTTAAACTGTTCTGAAGTTGTGAAGGCTGGAATGCAGCTATGCTCATTGCTTACAAAATGCTAGGCGTTAAATAAATGAAGAGTAGTGTTTGACTTTTGCAAAGAACTATAAGTTTATGAGTTTGTTGATCTGTTACTAAGAATCTAAATTATTGTCTGTGGTAAGCGACCATATGCTACAGATGCACCCGATAGAGATTATACACTGTAGTATTCCTGTAGGGTGTCAAAAGTGGTTTCAGCACCTTTATTTGTGAATCTCCCTGGTTTCCTGCAAGCCAAGCGCTTTATGATTTCCTACAAGCCAAATGTCTTATGATTTAGCTGCTAATGAAAAGGAGATAAATTGTGCTTTGAGTGTGGAGGTGAGGTAAATTATGACATTGGCATTATGGCATTATGAAGTTGCCCCTTTCTCCCTGCCTCTGTCTGTTGGAACAGTATTAATGTACAACTAAGTAATTTATGAGCAACAGTGATACACTCAGCACTCTAATCTTGTGTGTTCTCTGCAGAGTGTGCCCAGTGGGATCCCTCTGCCGCCCAGCCTGAAGCCGCCCACTCGCCCGGAGGCTGCTGTTTCTCCTCCCCCAGGTACAGTCGAGGCTTTAAGGCACCATTACATCGTACATACCCAACAAGGAACATGGCTAATCTCTTCAACTAACACCTGAGGTTTTACCTACAAACACTTTACAGGGCAGCATTCATAAGGCTACTTGATGCCTACATAAGCTTTTCATGACAGCTAACATAAACATACATTAACACTTTTTCAGTTGAGTAGAACCACATAGAATGACTATGGGGGAAGAAACAAAAAAGGACTCTTTGGTGCCCTCTAGCAGTCATGTTTTTGATATGAGTTGGCAAGCTCCCCTTAAACCAGCAGTTCTCAAACTTTTTTAGTCCAAGGCCACCTTTGTGGATTGTAAGTGCCAGAGTTATTAGAGATGCAACTTCTGAAAATGTTCTGCAGCCCACTTAGCACTCCTCTTTGTCACCCTCAGAGGGCCGTTAACCCCAGTTTGGGAACTGCTGCATTAAAATGCTTCTGGGTTCATGATAGTTTCCTCCCTTTCAATGATGCACACAAAAGACACTTGAGTGCTAATAACTCTTTATTGTGAAGAGCCTTCTGCCTACTAAACATGAGTGAGAGAGTTACAAACTAAGTCTAAGTGAGATGCTTTGCATTTAAAAATTGTATGTTAGCATGAAACTGTATGTGCTAAATTTTTTCAGTGTTCATTTGCCAACTCATTTTGCTCTGATGTGCTCTTTTGTATAGAGTTACCCTCCTCTTACGCCAATGTCACCCGCACCAGCTCTCCTTCACAGGACATCATCACAACCCAAAGCCCTCCACGGCAGGTGAGACCAAGCCTCCACACACCAAAACTCATCTGATGGCCAGAAACTCATGACATCTGTTGAAAACACCTCTCTAGTCTATCTGATAGACATACACTAAACCCGAAATGTCAAACAAGGACTCCCCTCAGTCTCTCCCTGCGTACCTCTGATAAACTCAAGCTGTTCTGTTTTAGCCAAAAGCTTCAACACACTTTGTAAGTGGAGGTACTAATTAATATTTATGACTCTGTTTGCGCCAGATGTTTTACTTAAAACGATTAGCCTCCCTTTTTTAAAGGATTTACAGGGTTTGTTCTGTAGTTTGTACTTCCACAGTACAGTAGACATACGGTGTTTACACTTGTTTCGAAAATACTCTCAAACTTAAAGCCCCAACCAATTCGTGCTTATGAAAATAGAATCTGTGCATGATTAATCCAGAAGCCCGTGGTGGCTGATCCGGGGGAGATAAAATGCATTTGGTGACTCAGGCGTGGAGTGGTGCATTTGAATAGCACTTTGATATGGCCTGATTCAGTCAGAGCAGAAACCCAGGGGAGGGAAAAGGAAGGCAGATAAAAATATAAACTGAACTATTTGAGACCGGAGCACCATATGCTGCCTGTCTTATCGACCCCAATATTGTCAGATGTCATTTTTTATTTGTCTGGTGACAGACTGAATAATATATTGCTTGTTAAACTTTATTGAGCTATTGGCCTTTTTGATACGGATATCTCAGTAAGAAGGCTTCAGTATCCCAATGAGCCCTTTAACCAGTCACAGTATTTTTGCTATGTGCTGTGAGGAAGCTCCCAAATCACAGTTCCAGATGAGAGTTTCTGTGGGTGTTTTGATGAATACAGATATAGACATTATCCAACAAATCTATTTTACTCAAAATAATGAAGGCCAGTCTTTAACCAAGTCACATAATTGAGTTACAAATGCATTTTTACTGCATACTGTGATGCAAAGTGCATGACAATGGCAATATGTAGCAATATCGTCATAGAGCAAGTATTTGGTCTAAATGGTCCGTCCTATGGTGCTACACCTGTAGGCAGCATAATTAGAAAAGGTATCATTACTCATAACCCTCGTATCTCCACAATGGCAAATATACAGGAGAGGGCAAAAACACTCTTTACTTTTAATGTACATTAGTGTAAAGAGATTTCATTCCAAGCAATTTTGGATCAGTTCTGTTGGTTCATTTATTATGAAATGCTCACACAATGTAAAGTGCAGCTGCTGTTTAAATGATGTATAAAAATAAAAATATAAAAAAATTATAGATAGGTGCTTTTTCCCCACCTGGACAGTGACAATACATAAATATCAAAAGATATTTTGCTATGTGGGTCATTGGGGGCAGTAAACTTTAAATATGCAATATTAATGCATACTATAGAAACTGGCTAAATTACACTGTATGTTCTTGTGGTGTTATCATAACTTATTATCATAGATTATTTTACATCCCCTCTCTATGTGCTCCAAATATGAAAACTAAGCCGTAAAAGAGGCCAGTTGTCAATTCATTGTTTTTGTGATGTCACAAAAACCCATACGTATATCCACCTACAGCAGTTTTGCCCCACCGGTTCAGGTTGAAGTTATAAGAAGTGTTTCTGTCTGAACGGCTTTCTGGATGAGGCACGATACACAGCAGCCAAACAGAACACAGGTCATTTACATATTGTCGCTGTCCAAAGAAAACCATGGATGGGTTTTTGCCCTTTCCTGTAAAGTTACTATTTTGGAGATACTTGTTTTTCTTTGGAGAGCGATGATACATAATTTACATAAAATTATAAGGGATGCATAGAGGTTGGAAAATGGTCAATCAAAAATGAATTATGACTGTTTTGGTACATAAAACCACATTTCTGAAGTGGAAAAATGTAGGATCTGGATCCCGTAAATGCGTTTAATGAAGTGTGCATGAATATGTTTCCTCACTGTGTATCCTGAATGTGTCTTACAATTTTCTGCTCTTTGTTTCACCCAGACTGAGGGAGCAGACTCAGTCATAGTTAAAGTGCACTACAGATACACCGTGGCTCTGAGTGTCCCAATAGACATAGAGTATCGGGAGCTGCAAGAGAGAGTTGCTCAGAAATTAGGACAGCCTGCTGCACTCATTCGCCTTAGGTAACACTGCCGACCCGACAACCTGCTTTTCTCAGTCTCACTTTGAAATTGGAGTGTTTTTTAGGTCACTGGACAAATGTCTCCAGCTCGTCCTTTTTCTCCTTTCTCTCACAGACAGAAGCAGCACGGTTCCTCACTCCTGAAGCCTCTGGAGGGCGAAGGAGGTCTGCGTGACCTGGCTGAAGTGGCAGAGTCGGGCCGGGCCACACTATGGTGTCAGGTACTCGTTGACCCTTTGATGCCGAGGCAATAGAAGTATCCATGACTGCTTACTTAATCTACTCCTCTTCTTTAATAACATGAGATACTGATGCAAAGAACATGTAGAGAACCTGTAAAGGACATGACCTACAAAAGCTAAACATTTTAAAAGTTTATTTTAAATCAGATCAGACAAAATCAGTAATGTTAATAACATTTCAATATATTGTTTACCCAGTAGACTTGTTGGCCACTTTATTAGAAACCCACCTTGTGGTCCACCTAACTGGTGTACAATTAGACACTGTAGCCTGTCTATTGACGCAGATTTGCGTTAGCTGATATTGAGCCGTCAAGGGTCAGTTTGTGACCACAGAAACTGGACCATTCTCAACCTAGCAGTGCCACTGACATGTGTAAAACTCCCCCATCATTTGTTCCAGCACCACACACTACCATGTCAGTGTCAGTGCCATGCTGAGAACAGTCCATCTCCCAAATAGAAACTGTTCCACAGTGGCCATGTAGTCAGAAACTGGCCAATGATGAGCAGCTAGCAAATTATGCATGACAACAGATTGACAGCCTATACTTATAGGGTGGACCTATAAATTGAATGTCACAAAGTGACCATCAGGTAGAAGTGTTTCTAAGAATGTGGTGGACTGTCTGTGTAAATGTTTATTAACCATTCTACTGAATTTTTTTAAACTGCAGCCCCAGAGTAAGAAAGCTATTAAAAAAGAAGACAAATAAATTGTAAGGTGCTTTCGAGTGGGAGGTGGCTGTCCTAAATTTTTATATAAAAGACTTTATAATTCCAAAAATACTTTACAACATTTTTATGACACTACCGAAACACGCAGAGTTTTAGTGCAAGGCGGAGCCTTATTTTAGCCACACCCCTGCAATTTAGAAGTGAGAAAGCAAGACTGCATCCCTCACGGCCACAGTTAGATCGCATTGTTTTGAAATAAACATGTCTCAAAGTCTGAAAAGTCTGTGTGTAACATAAATAATTGTCACTACCGAAACACACATTTTCTAAACTTTTTTGTGTTTTAAAATTTTTTTATTTTTTTAAAATATTTTTTCTTGAGTTGTGCTCAAACTTAGTTGAAATTGTCAACACTGAAACAGTCAGTACTGAAACATTTGGTAAAGTTTTGGTAGTGACAAAATAAAATGTTCAATCATTCGATTTAATAAAATAATTAAGGTAATAAAACAAATAATCTTAATTCAAAGCATTCAAACTGAAAGGATTTTTGTCCAGGTCAGTTAAAAGTCCAAAACAGGTTTTCAACTCTGACTTTGATGCAGTTCGGTAGGATGATCCATTAAAACTGACTCTGCACTTGAACTTCATAATCATTGTTTAATTTCAAATCCAATGTGCTGAAGTACAGAGCCATAACAATAGACACTGTGTCACCGTTCAATTACTTACAACCTGCACTGTATATCCTCTGGCAATCTCACCTCGAACAGGCTGAGGATCCTCTGGCCAACAGGACAATCCTATACCAGATGGTGGCACTGTATGACTATTCCGCACAGGGGCCTGAGGACCTGGAGTTTAGTGAAGGGGACACCATTGACATCCTCAGTGAAGGTACATTTCTAAAGTTACAGAGTTTTGAGGACACCAGTCATCTTTACTTATTTGAGTAGCTGTAATTTAGTGCCTGTATGTTGACATAAAGGCATTTGGCCTTTCATGTTTTCATTGTGTGGCCTAATCAGAAAGTGGTAGTGAAGAGCTTTTACACTATGGTAGTATAATGCAGCCTGTCTAACAAATTAAAAAGACATATTAAAACCTTGAAATGTGACTTTTCTCATTGTTACTTTTCGAGTGCCTCTTATTCACCAGAGTATATTTTGGTTTTTCCATCTGAATTTACATGACCAAATCGTAAGGTAAATTATTCAGTAACTGCATGAAATAAATGTACATCTTTATTTTATTTAATTAATATTTGTAGTTCCCCTCAAATTAACAGATCATGTTTTATGATCATACACATATTGCTATATGCTTACAATTTACTGCTGAACACCAAAAATCTCAGGCGCTCTTTGTATTATTTTATAAAAATAATTTTTACAGAGCAGATCACTGAAGAGACGCCATCTGTTTATAGTTTATAGCCCAGATTTGTGGAAAAATGGGTCAACTTTCAGTATTTGACTGGAAAGAAGACAGTTAAACCTTTTGAATGTAGCTTATGAAATATGAAAGTTATGAAGAATATGACGAAATGCGTTTTGGAGCCACCAGTGGTCTCAAGGAGGTTAATAAAAATGCAAGCCTGCAATCTATTTAATACACTTGAACATATCCTTTAAGGGAGGATTTCCTAAAACAGTCACATTTACACAATTGTCCACTTACCCCAGATGTGGTCGATTAGCCAAAGCTGTTCAAATCTCACCTGCATGAACTGAACTTTTTGATGATGCTGCTGCTGCACAGACTCAAACTATTCCATTGTAACCATTCCTTCACCTGTTTTTCCCCGTTTCTGTATTTTAATATTTTATACTAACATTGTTTGTTATCCCCTGTCGACCAGAGGAGGATGGGTTCCCCTTTTGAGTCTTGGTTCCTCTCAAGGTTTCTTCCTCTTGCTCTTAGGGAGTTTTTCACTGTTGCCATTAGCGACGCTCATGGGGGCTTGGACCTGTATTTTTCTGTAAAGCTGCTTTGTGACAACACCTGCTGTGTAAAGCGCTATATAAATAAACTTTGACCTGACTTGACGTGACATGTCTGATGTCTAGATTTGGATTCATTAGTTTACGGCTGGAGCTCCGAGGGTAATATTGTTTACAAATACTAGAAATAAATAGTCACTTTTTTTTTTGTAAATATTCCCCCAATACTTTACCCAAACCACATTCAGGTTTCATTCAGTTTGTGCACTGACCCTCCTGCTGCTGCTGCTGCATAAACTCAAACTATCTATTTAACCATTGCTCCACCTGTTTTTCCCCGTTTTGAATTATAATATTTTATATTAATGCTGTTTCCTATCCAGTGTCGACCAGAGGAGGAAGGGTTCCCCTTTTGAGTCTTGGTTCCTCTCAAGGTTTCTTCCTCTTGCTCTTAGGGAGTTTTTCCTTGCCACTGTCGCCACTGGCGATGCTCATGGGGGTTTGGACCCAGATTTTTCTGTAAAGCTGCTTTGTGACAACACCTGTTATAAAAAGTGCTATATAACTAGACGCCAGGTGTTGTGACAGATTCTGACGTCCCTTCACATTCACATGCCACACAGGCATTTGGATGCTATAGTTTATATTCATGATTTCTGTTGATTCTTTTGACTGTCAATCTTGAATTGTCTGAATATATACATAATGTGGTTTGTGCGAGTTAAGAGAAGTTTTGGGAATGTATTTACAAAAAAGATTTGGGTGACTATTGACTTCTAGTGTTAACCTCATAGTTCTAGTGCTAAGCTAAAGAAGCAAAATTTGGACACCAAACATGTCTGAGCTGATCGGCTACATGTGGGGCAAATGAAGAATTGTGTAAATTAGATTTTTTGCCAGACTGTTCTTTTAAATGGCCTAGAGTCTCCCGCAGATTTAGACTTCTCTCTCTTATAACTTGAGAATAACTAGTCATCTTGAATTGTTTTCCATGTTTTTGCTTAATAATAAGCTTTAGCATGTAATCAGCCTGGAGATTTAGAGGATAAATATACATTTTTTAGACCACTAAATATTTAAAGGGTTCTCCTTTCACTGCATGCATAGGCACAGTAGACTGTATTTAAAGCTATTCTGCTTCTGTTTTACAGTGAATGAGGAATGGCTAGAGGGACACACTGCTGGAAACATCGGCATTTTCCCCAGATGTTTCACCTACAGAGACTCAGAGAAAGTCGCAGTCAATAAAGCAACATCACCATAAAAGCTCAAATGCCTAAATGTGTAAATAGATTATTTACACATTATACACAAATAGACAGTATTTTCAATCCACGATTTTGTATATGTATTGCAAGTTAGTAGATTAAACAATACATTAAGACTTTTTATTATCATATTGATTATATGCAAACACAGCTATTTGCATATTACTTTCAGTATCATTATCAGATATTATTTTCTGTAAGAGCTCATGATCAAAATTTCCGAGAATGCTACAAAAGATTTGTGTTCATTTACACTGGTGACCAATCGATTATATAGTTAAACCTGCTCAGTGGAGCAATCCTGTCAGTCAAAATGCACATACAAAATATTCTGTCCTAACATGAAAGCTGATTGTCAGTCTGTCTGAATGAATGACGGGTGATGTTAGAGCTTTGAGTGCTGAGTCGCGCTGGAGGCTCTCTGTTGTCGGACTAAAATAAATGGTAGGTTCAAGTGAAGGTTGTACAGATCCTGTAATATTTTACCCCAGTGTGTGAAACACCCACATGGTATTCAAGGGGTCCCATGTTGGCTGGCCACTCCAGCACTGGTGGTGCTGATGCTAGCTTCACTGGCAGCAAAATATTTACCAATTCTTTTTCTGGAAATGCTCTTGTGTAATGGTAATGCAGTTTCCCACATATTAACAGAGATCTTATACGTCTCCTCATTTGTCTTCAGTTTGAGAATTGAAAATTCAGACTTTCCACCAATGTCCTGGGAAGTTGGGCGAGTTTTAGGATTTGCAAATGTGTGGCTGCATATTGTAAAGTTTTTCAAAGGTATCTGGGTATAGTTACAATTGCTAGGCTATAAAGGACTGTCTGGGTGAGCCAGTTTGCTACAGCGCCACCCAGAGGCAGACCAGTGCTGCATCTTTAGTTAACAATACCAAAGACAGAATCTTGCCGATTCGTGGGTGAAGCAGGCTAAATGAGAATTTAGATTTTGTGACATTTTGAAACATTCAGAGGTTTCAAGAGGTTAATTGGGAGTCCTGAAGCCCCCAGGACCCCCTGTATTTCGCGCCTTGTTTTACCCTCAAATATTTGCCAGTTGTTAGGTAGCGTGATTAACTCCTTTCATATTTCTTTTCATCTCTTCTCTCTTGCCTTTTTTTCTTTCGCTCATTGAACTGTCCTCCAGAGGTGTTCATTTGTGCTGAATGTTTAATTACAAACTTTTCTTTGCAACAGTTTCACTGTGATCGATGTTTCAGCTCTACCTTTTGCTTAATCAGATTTGAGGCTACTTTCTGGAAGCGTTCTTAGCTAGAAACTAATGGCATTTGGGGAATTTAAGTCTTCTGAAGTGAAATATGTATAATGGCAGTAAGCTGGCTGGATTGTGTGTGAGTTAAAACTAAGTTGATCAGAGCCCTTGGCTGCTGTTCGTAGAGTAAGCTGATTTAGCCCTATATTAATGGCTTGGAGGTGGAATATGTGGTTCTTTAGAATTATAAAAACCCACAGTTTACAAAGTCCAAAGAGGTTAAAGAAGTTTAGTTCAACATGCTGCCAGTTCTGGTTTTTATCATTGCCACCTCCTCGCTCGTAGCTCCTGACTGAACAGCACGGGTGATCTATCATGTGCAATTTACTGAACAGCACCTTTTACAATAAATGATGATTGATCACAGCTCAGCCATGCAGAACAATCAGTCTCCCCTAGCATTTTCACAACTTTCACCCTTTCTTAAAGATAACAGTCCCAAAAGGGGTTCCTTTGTTCTAGAACAGGGATGCCCAAACTTTCTGTCCTGGAGGACCAAAGTGTAATGTTTGTGGTGGAGTGAGGGGCAAATAGACAAAACAGTTTGGTGCTCACTGGCCTTATATTTCTATATGTCATCTATATTTATATATGTATAAATTAGGAGCATGTGTGCTTTCATTATGTTAATGAATGTTGTATTTTTTTCCAAATACTGTGACTGTTTTCTTGTATATGAAGCTGTTTTATCTTTAAATATTCATAAAAAAATTCTTCTCCCCAGTGGTCCCTTAATCTGCTCATCTTTGTGCACCTGCCTGTTATGAGCATTGCACGTTTCTGCCATTAGCTCATAACTGGTAGCCACATACAGTTGTGCGCAAAAGTGTGGGTGGTCAAATTACATGTTTTGTTTTTCTGAGTAAAATAAGTTAACACATCCTCTACACTGTAATTCATCCTCTTCTGTGCATTTTATTGCACTGTTTATTTGCTGAATTTAATATACTGGGGAAGAAACACATAAAATGTGGCCTGTACACATTTTATATTTATTTCCGTTTTTCCCTCAATATGTTAAACCATGTTAAAGTCTTTATAGGAAAGTGTTCATCTTGGCAACACCTCTGGGCAGTTATCATACGAGACCAGGCTTCTATTTCTTTGAATGAGGAGAAACCCAAACCTGAACGCCACATTACAGTTTTAAAACCATATTTGAAATCACTACTTAAATGACAAGAATCACATAAATGCAGACCTTTGGCTTGAGGAACACAATTTTTAAAGCTCGTTTAGGTTACTGTGCCTGCATGTAACAATGGAGGACCAAGCCAATTGGCAAATGTTGAGCATTACATGCTTTCCCGAGTGAACTGTTTCCTCCTGTATAATGTCTCTGGTTAAAGCAAATAAATTGAAATTGCCACATTTAAGTGTGTTCTGTGTAGAGGATCTGTTCACTTATTTTCACTTAGAAAATCAACACAGTATCCAGGGCTGTTCACATTTTTGCATACACACTTGTTGATGGTTCTTCAAGTGTTCTTTAGTAAAAAAAAATGGTTCTATATAGAACCATGAACACTCTTTGCATGATTAAAAGGGTTCTTTGCACTGTGAGATGGTTCTTCAGATTGATGGAGAATGTGCTATATAGAAGCAAGCAAGTAAGCAAAGTTTATTTATATAGCGCTTTTTATAACAGGTGTTATCACAAAGCAGCTTTACAAGGAAATCAGCATTACAGAAAGAAATCTGGGTCCAGGCCCCCATGAGCGTCGCCAGTGGCGACAGTGGTACGGAAAAACTCCCTAAGAGAAACAGGAAGAAACCTTGAGAGGAACCAAGACTCAGAAGGGGAACCCATCCTCCTCTGGGCGACATCGGATAGTAAACATTGTTAGTATAAAGTATTATAGTACAAAAACAGGGAAAACAGGTGGAGCAAATGATTAATTTGATTAGTTTAGTTCATGCAGCAGCAGCATCAGTGGGGTCAGGTTGTGAGGGTGAGGTTTGCACGGCGTTGTACAGCAGGAGGCTCGATGGTGGTAAGCCGGTCCAGAGGGCTGGCGAGCAGTGGCACCCAATCAAGGCAGAAGAGGCAGCAGCATCAGACACACAGGATGGGCAGTTGTTCAACTCGGCAAAGAAAAGAAAGGAAAAACACACAGAGAGTCAGTTCTGTAATGGGTGACTGATCACAAATTACAGTGTTAGCAGAGCAGCGGAGACTCCGGCAGGTAAAGAACTGACAAGGAAAACGAATTACCAAAGGCTTGACTATACAAGTAAGTTTTTAGCTTAGACTTAAACACTGAGGCTGTGTCTGAGTCCCGAACATTAACAGGAAGATTATTTCAAAGCTGGGGGGCTTTTTATAAGAAGGCTCTCCCCCCTAACGTAACTTTATTAATTCTGGGTAGTTATAGTAAGCCAGCACCTTGCGATCTAAGTAAGCATGATGGTTCATAGTGAGAGAGAAGTTCACTCAGGTACTGAGGGGCGAGTCCGTTTAGAGCTTTATAAGTCAGTAAGAGAATTTTATAATCAATGTGAAATTTAACTGGTAACCAGTGTAGGGTTGATAAAACTGGGCTGATATGGTCAAACTTTCTGGTTCTAGTAAGAACTCTGGCTGCAGCGTTCTGGACTAGCTGAAGCTTGTTAAGGCTTTTGCTGGGACATCCAGCCAGCAGGGCATTACAGTAGTCTAGCCTTGAAGTAATAAATGTATGAACTAACTTTTCTGCATCCTGTAGAGACAATGCATTTCTTAATTTTGAAAAAGGTTCTATATAGCACCAAAAGGGTTCTTCGGTTGTTACAAGCTTGACATCGAAACAATAGAAGTACTCTTTTTGGAGCAATATAGAACCCTTTTTAAAAAGGTTCTTCATAGAATTTATAATTCAGAATATTACTATAATACTATAAATCAAATCTTAAAAGAAAAGTAAGAAGATATTTAAAAATGTTTGTTCTCTCATTGGGTGAGGAAAGCAGGCCAAATCAGACTTCCATGCAGGCCAAATTTGGACCATGGGCCTCAATTTTGGCAGCCCTAAAAGAACCACTTTTTTCTTTAGGAAACTTTCAATGGATGGTTCTTTTGAAGAAGAATTTTTGTAAATGAGATTTGAGATTTGAGTATATAAAACCTTATATGAACCACCTTATTACAAAAGAATCACTTGGTTCCCTGTAGAACGTTTCAATGGACTGTTCTTTAAAGTTTTTTAAGGAACCTCAACAAAATATAAGGGTCCAAGGTCTTTTGTATAACTACATCACCAAGAACTTTTAGAACTTTATTAAGAACTTTATTTAAATACAGAACATTAAGAACTTTATTTAAATATAAAGTGTCAGAAAGGGTTCTTTGGTGCGATGCCATAGAAGACCTACCTTTGGATCCCTAAATAACTTCTCTGTTGGGTGGTTTCTTTAAAGAACTCTAAAGTACCCTAAGGTTCTTTTGGGAACCAAAGGTGTTTCTCTGTGAGGTCACTCCAAAGACCTAATTTTGGGCTCTTTTATTTTTAAGAAGTTACCATATACTCTCCATTGTCCTCACCTAAAACAAATTCCCTTGCACTTAACCTTACGACATGTTCCATCACACTTCGTCAGACTCTATAGCAGTGGCTTTAGATCACTCCACCATTATGCTAAGATGAAATGAGGCTGAACGGGCTGAGGGATCAGCACTATTGAGGTTAATGGCGTGAAGGCCCTGGCCCAGGTTTTCTCCTCTGTTACAGTGAGCTCTGGGCGAGCGTGGGTGCAGCATAAGGTCCCTCTCCTTTTTTATAGTACTGTAATCATGGGGTTGGCACGGCCCACCGTGACTCACTTTCTCCTCCACTTCCATTAAACACTCGGCCGTTAATCAAACCGCAGCCCTCATCCCTGCTCCGCCTCTCTAAATCAATCCCTTCCTTCCTTTCTCCTCTTTTATTTCTCTAGTTTTAAATACGTGGTAGTGGAATAGGGAGGATTATGGTTATCAGATGCAGTAAATGTAGTAAATACATGTGTTTTATATTAACCACAGTTTACGGTGATGTGTTAACAGAGTGCTAAATAAAGAGTATCGACACTGTTTTAGTACAGTGCAGCCAATGGAGCAAATAAAAAGGCCTTTTAATATGTATATGCTGCCCGTCAAACATTTGAGGACCATTTTGCTTTGTAATTTTAATTTCATCACTGTTATTTTTCAGTTAACTAAGAAAAAAAGGCCTGCGAAGGATTTGCTGACATAAAACAATTTGACAGTTTTCGGGAACATTTAAACCCCGTTATAAAACATCTACTGTACCATAAACATGTCACAGTAGATGTCATATGCTGTCATGAGTTATCATGATACATTTCATTCAGCAATATAACAGTGTCATGTTACTATTAATATTAATTGTTATGACGTACACTATATGGCCAAAAGAATGTGGACACCTGACCATCGCACCTACTGTGGCAGGAAAAAGTATATGAACCCTTTGAAATTGCCTCCATTTATGTATAATGTCATCTTCAAAACGGTCTGGTCTTCATTAAGTTACAATAAAGAACAAACACCATCTGTTTAAACTAATAACACAAGTAATGTGTTCTAATTATTTTTGTCCATGTTGAAAACGTCATTCAGACATTCACACTGTAGGTTGGAAAATGTATGTGAACCCTCAGGCTAATGACTTCAACAAAAGCTGATTGGAGTCAGGAGTTAGCAAACCTGGAGTTCAGTCAATGAAATGAGATTAGATGTGTGGGTTAGAGCTACTTTGACCCCTCAAATATTTTGAATTTGCTGTTCACAAGACGCATCTGCTGATATGAACCATGCCTCGCAAAAAGAGATCTCAGAAGACGTGCAGTCTATAGTTGTTGGTTTGTACAAAGCTGGCAAGGGTTACAGAGTGATCTCAAAGAGTTTAGGTACTCATCAGTCAGACAAATGGTCTGTATATGGAGACGATTTTAGTACTGTGTCTGCTCTCTCTGGAAGTGGGTGTCCAGCCAAGATTACTCCAAAGGCACAATGCTGAACATACAGTGAAGTTAAAAGAAGCATAGTCTAACAGTTAAAGCTTTGAAGGAATCATTGGCACTGGTTAACCTCTTGGTTCATGAGTCTACCATATAAAAAACATTGGTGTTCATGGCAGGATACCATGGAGGAATCCACTGCTATCCCTCCAAAAAATACACTGTATACCTGTGGTTGGCCAAAGGGCACCTTGCCAAACCCTCCTGGGAAAATGTTTAATGGACTGATGAAACTAAGGTTGAACTAAGGTTGAATTGTGAACACACAGCATTAAGTATGGTGTATAAAGTGCACTGCATACTAGTAATAATACTGAAAACATTATCCCAGCAGTGAAGTATGATGGAGGGAGCATCATGATTTGGGGATGCTTGGCTGCCTCTGGAGTGACTGCTGGCATCAAGGGAAAACTGAATTTCCGGAATTTTTCAAAATATCCTATTGGGTCATGTCAGGGTGGCAGTCTAGCAGCTGAAGCTCAGTAGAAGATGAGTGATGCAGCAGGACAAGGACTGTTAACAACAAAGTAAATCTACTACAGAATGGCTTTAAAAAAATAAAATCTGCCTTTTAGAGTGGACCAGTCAGAACCCAGTCCTTAGCCCAATAGAGATGCTGTGGAACTACCTCAAGAGAGCTGTTCCCACTAGACATTCAAAGAATATGGCTGAGCAGCAGTAGTTCTGTAAGGAAGAATGGTCCAGTATTCTTCTTGAACATTATGCATGTCTGATCCAGAGCTACTGGAAACACTTG